GTGATATAGGTGAGAAACTTTCGAAAATATTGAAAGTAGGAGTCCTTTTTTTCGAAAGTGTAAATGCTAGGACACAGAGACACCGAGCTTCCGGTAAGGGAGTAGACGAAACAGCGCGGAGATGAGTGAGGCGCAGGCATCCCACCACGTTACTCGTTACGTTTCGAGCAATGGATGCAACACGTGATTTTGTCCTGAATGACGGAGAACGCGTGGCTCATTCCAAATAGGTTGCTCATCTCCAGCAAAATTGTCTGAAATTTTTTTTCTTTCCGAGACCCTTTCTGTCTAAAGCTTTTTGAGATCTACTTCATAAACAGCAGTGTGCATCGCACTGTATCATGACCCAAGTTACTCCTTGAAAAAGCACTGACGTGGTAGAGTGACCTTTGATGTACTTATGTAAGAGTTCTGGCGAGGCGCCACAACACTGATTTGGACAGATAACACGACTGTAAAACAGGGTGATAAGCGTCCACAGCGCAAATTCGAGCGAGATTCAGCAGCAGCGCTCCTCAGCTCGCCTTCACATGCGCTTCTGCGATACTGAGACAGCGAGCAGGGGCCTAGAGAGGACTAAATGGTAAATGTTAGGTGCAATTTGATGTACAGAACCACCTTCTGCGAGCCTAAAGGAATTTCACTGCTTCTATCGTTTCAAATCGCAGTTGGACCCTCCCCTACTCTATAACTTCTTGATAGGTTTACGGCTTAACACACCGGTTATATTGCGGGTGCTTGAACCAATTCTCTAACGCGCACGACGACTAACGAAGTTGCCTGACCCCGCAATGTCTTGATGATCGTTATCTTATGATTTCCTGACATACAAGTGAGGAATTCGGGAGAGCGGAACATTGAAGATCATCTATTTCCCGCTTGAAAGCTATAACGGCCACATCGCGAGATAGATTATTGCACTGACCCCTCCCGCGAAAAAGTTTGCGTAATCTGCAAAGTCGCGGATAGAGCCACTTGCAACAAAAATGCATAGAAAGAGCTCCAAGTGTTCAAAATTTACACCACCATGGCTACTTCAGGGAACCCACACACTCACAGGAAACACGAAGCCTTACTGAAGAGTGTCCTGTGATTTTTTCCTTTTGATTCACTAGCAGCCCAAACAGCATCCAATATTCCATATGTGATTTGTATAGTCATTATACTCTCCTTATGTGCTAGCGAAGAATGTGCACTAAATTCTTCTGTACCAGTACTAATATGAAAAACCATGCGAGAATTTGAGATTGTATACGGATTAATCGCTGCACTTTTCATGGCGTGGATTTTTCTGTTAACATCCAAGGAAAACTATGCAAAGAGCGTGAGTCAGCGCAGGCACTAATCACAATATTCACGTGGGATAATTTGCTGCTGACAATGAGACCAGCAGCGCAACAGCAATGGTATCTAGGCATCACTGATTAAAAACTGACCCCAGTAGAGTGTCAGCCAATGAAGCGAAAGATGTGATGCGTAAATGGCGGCTCCGCACACAGCTTGTTTCTTTGCTTACGAACTGTTACTGCGCTCGCGTCTCCACACTGTTAATGATAAAAAGTGCTTTTTTAGCATCAAAACCACAGTTCATTAAAGATTTTTCCTCCGTTTAGATCTTTGGAGTCATCCGAGGAAACGCTTCTGACGCGACAGGTAGTATCCGTGGTCGAAAGCTGCACGTATTCAACACCATACGGATGATGAGGATAAAAAGTCAATGGCAGGTCTGTGTTTGCATTTCGGCAAAGATTGCATAGTATCTGTTCTTGCTCCTTATCGTCAGTTAACACGTTGACGACAGCATGACGCGCATGCGCGTCAGAATTTCACCCGATTCTGGCTAGTTTTTTATTTTTATTTGGCCTTTTTCATATTTCAAAACTGTGTGCATGCATTATCTTATCCGAAAAACTGTGAGTCAATTACCAGTAGTGGAATTATTGAAGAAGTTATGACGATTGTGAAAAAAATAAACAAAAAGGTGCCTGAGGTACACGTACAAGGGCCTGTCGTCAACGAGTTAAAGGCGCATTCCACGATTATGTGGTTCAATCCCTTCCCTTTGTGAGATAGGCTGATCCGTAAGCAAACAGGTCGCGCTATTTAACAGTTCCAATCTGCGCAAATTGAACTTATGTCACCGCAATGCACACCCTGAAAGTGGTGCCACTCATGATAAGCATTGCATTTACCCCTGATGCTATCAGGACCATGTGTGTCGCTGAGCTGCAATTATGAAATTTTACCACGAAAAGCATTCTACGCATGTAGACAGCAAATGCATATTACAGCGAGCAGCTACGCCCAAGCAGGGTGAATAACGGTCGAGGAATTCCTCGACCATGGCTCTCTACTGTGCGAGAGTAGTGCCGAGAGTGAACGTACGCGCGGGAGAGCACAGACGGCTCGCGCATGGCGAGTGTGAATGTCCGCGCGGGAGAACGTAACTGATCAGGCGAAAATCCTCGACGTGCCGTTGAGGAATCCTCGACCGATATTCACCCTGCGCCCAACTATACCCAATCCTCAGGGAAGGATGAAGATGGTTGGAATGATCTTTATCCTGCTCTAAAGATCATTCCAACGTTTTTCATTGTCATCCTTTTTCTTTCACTAGATCCTTTTTGGTTCAGAGAGACTACATCAAAGAGGAGATGAACAAGGTTGTCGTCTATATTACGACATGTGGAATCCTCAGGAGAGTTTGGGAGCGATGTCGAGATACGGTAAGATTCACGTTTATTTCATCTTCTGTGCCAGTACACTTATTTGATATCCAGGTTGAACTCTTAAAAGCACTCAAAATCAAGGCGGAATTTCGTGATCTCAACATTGACCCCTCTTATGCTGATGAATTGGCCGATCGAATGCGTTTGGACAAGGTCGGTTGGGCAAATATATTCCTTGAAATAAAGCGTCTGAACATCGGTTGAGACACGCTGGTTTTCAAAATTCGAAAATTTCAGAGCGATCGGGAACTTGTTTATGACGGCCTTCCAATGGTATACGTGAATGGAAAATATTTCGGAGTATGTTTCGTTATTGTGCTCCTTGAGTTTCATTTCTCTCACTTCAACTGAGAACTTTTGAAGTATTAAAATGGCTCCGATCACTGGACGCAACATGGTAGCAAAAGCAAGCAAAATTCGGAGCTTTATAAGGCTTGCTCCTCCTCCTGCATGAGGCTCCTGCTCTTACGAGATTATGATCCCTACTAGGTCACTTCAAAGGTCTATGTAGCTAACACCAGTGTTATAGAACACTATAGATTACCTTTTCATTTTTCATATTACTCAAAAAAGTAGAAATTTACGCCAAAGTAATGCAAGTTGAAGTCATTGTCATTAGTCACGATAAGTAACCAATGCCCTAAATTTGAAAAATGCTGGCGACGGGAAATGCTTCCACTTGTTCTCGGAGTGCCGTCACTAGAAACTCTTTCTGGCCTTTTGACTTATTGCATTCACATCTCACACTTCTACTCCATCCTATTCTCGATCGATTTGTCTCTACTCTCCGAAATCGCACGCTTTAACCCGATTCTTCATTGCGTCGCCTGATACGTAGCCGCCCCAAGGCACTTCTTCCATGCCTGCCTTTGGCTCCGCGCCACTTACCTTCGATTGTCCATAGAGTGGTTTTTGTAAGTTTGTTTCTCTCCGAAAATAAAGTTTGTGCGTTAAAGCTTTGATGCTGTCCCTCGATATCCCAACTACATATCCGTGTTGGACAAAATGACAAGATTTTCCTCGGGAGGATCCAATAAGTCCTCTGTGGGAAACAAGCGAGGAGGTAATGACGCAACTGGTCAGTAGCTGGTGGAACAAAGGAAGGACATACCCTCGCCTTCAAATGACCAGAAATTGTGCAATTGCAGAAATTGACGTGGCATTGGCACACGTGGCTAAATTCTCGATGAAAAGGTGACATCACGTGTGCTCAAAGATGTTCTTGAATCGATGCCACGTTAATGCCACGTCAATTTCTGCAATTGCACAATTTCTGGTCATTTGAAGGCGAGGGTAGATGTGCCCTTCCCGCAGCAAACGACGCGCTAGTTGCAGCGCAGTGAGACTCCAAACCTTAGAACCGTAGAGCTTTAAAACTGTCCCATCCTCTTCATTGTATCGCCAGCAGCACCCTTCATTTCGACAAAGCTTTCACTCTAAGCGACTGTACCTTTTAGTCTGGGTGAAGTGTTATCAGTCCGACCGCACACCAGCGGCGATGTCGCTTGTCGCGAGTCACGCGGCTAAACCACAATTTCTTCTCCAGTGGTTGTCCATCTTAATTGACATCAACGGGCATACGAAAGGAGTCCTTTTGATTTCTCGATAGATTTCTTATGCTTTTTTTCAAGTGATGCCGCCCCTTTCACTAATGACCACCCCAAAGCATATTGTAATACATTATACGAAGTTCATCGAAGAGTCTTTAACAAAGACCGCTTCAGATCCCGAAGTGTGAGCCTTAAAGGACGAATTCACGATCAGAGGGAAAATCGAATTAGGAAGAATTCACCTGGTTGAGGGACCCGCGGAGCTCCTAAGTGTGCGAACTGAAGCACAATTTGCACAGGAGGAGTTGACCTCGTTGACCTATTAAGGTTTAATCCCGCCGCGGCTGGTCAGTGCACGCCCACCGATCATCTGATCACTCGCCGCAGGTCTATACGTGGTGAGTGATTAGATAGGTGAGAGAGCGTAGTGTTGAAGAGGGCACAGCGATGATAGTCGCATCAATGCTCAAATCAACGGGCAAGGAAGGGGTCCCATTTCTCGGGTTCTGGGCCGTTTCTCATGGTTTTCCTTCTTTCGTGTACCACTCACCATCGCTAAGTTAATTTGAAATGGGTTGCCTTTCCAGCGTGAATTCGTCCTTTAAGTGAGATAAAGCAAACGAAAAAAGATGGCGCATTTTTGCTCGTCGTTACATTCCCAACTTTCATAGACTGTTCCAAATCTGAACTGAGTTAAATAATGCGCATTCAACGCCAAAATTTTTCGTCGTCTACCGCGCGGTTTTATATTTTGTGTCACGAGACAGCCTTGAATATTTCGAAGCACAAACCGAAAGATGAACGGCAGCTTCGCATATCTAGAAGTCTAGCAGAACCCCTAGAACGCCCATTCAATGAATGTGCCTTCGCCGCATGTGAAAGAACATTTAATTATCCTCAAAACTCTTGCGCGCTCAAATAAATCACCACTGCAAGCTCAATGGCTTGCAGTTAATGATTTATTCGAGCGTACAAAGGCTTAATTATAATTGAGTGTATGAATGTTCAAAAGCAGCAGAGAATTTTTCAGAACGATGCCACCCTGATTCAAGAGAACGAAAACAAGAACCTCGTCGAAATCCTAAGAGAATTTCAGGTAGGCGTGACGAAAATCTTTCTTTGACTCACTTCTGTCTTGAACCTGGTCTTGAAATAGTTATCCTTTTTTTGCGGTCTCCAACCGTAGGCGGAGTAGACGTTTGCGCTCAACCGCAAATCCCTCGGCCCTTTCGGCCCTGGCCTATCGCGGAGGGCCTATCAACACCGCACGCGCACCTTTGTAGGCGAGGCGGACGTATCCCTTGGGGACCAGGGGGATCCTAGCGGCCGTGTATCATACACGGACCACTACTGAGCCGCTGCGCTAAATGCCGTAATCATGCAAAGACAACCAGAACATTTCCACAATCCTACCGCATCATAGAAACAGGTAAAGAACCACAACAAATAAACACAGACTAGCTTATATATTTATTTGACGGAATGACTATCACATCGTCACCCCCGTGAGTCGCCCCTCGGTCCCGATTCCGCGTTGTCAACATCTGGAGATGCCTCCGCCGTACAGTGCCGCTCAGCGTGAATATGCATGCCATCTCGTAGGCATGATTGCCGTAATCACAGTCACGCTAGTTACAAGGATTCAGTTCCAACTACGCGTACTTTGTTTTCCGCCGTGCGTGAGAGACGCGTTTCGATAGCACCATATTCAGTTACTATGAAGTTATCTGGCGGAGGTGACCATCAGCTGCATATGTGATTCAAGATATGAACTATGTATAATTCTCTGCGAATTCCTGCAGTGCACAAGAAGCGCTTGGCTGCTGGGTTGCTAACTGTTGAACTAGAATCGTTAGACTCATCATATTGAATGATGATCAATATGAACTTCCAATAGAAAATCTACCACAAACGGAGGTGAGCATATTCATTATGTCTATGAAGCAAATGCGTGGGGAATCAGCGCACGGCCCAAGACTTTCGAAATGTATATATATTAGCTGGTCAACTTTTTTGTCCCTCATCAGCTAACGGATAAGCCCCGTTCAGAGGAATCAAGTCTATGGTTGCAGATCATCGATTTTCAATTTTTAAACAACATCTGGCACCGGATGGCTGTTGCGTTGAAGTACTGAATTTTCTTACAAAGATGAAAGGAAATCTTGTCAGATTTAAAATGCAGGATTGTTGAAAAAAAGCTACCGCACAACCAAGTTGTGTGTGTCGTAGAGGGAAAAAATCATATCTTCTAGACGTAAATACCTTGAGCATTCAATTTCGCACGAATACTGAATTTTTTTACGATTTCCAGGGCGGCAAGAATGTACACGCTGACCTTGCTCTGCTTACAACCCGGTGTCCGTTCTGCAGAGGCGGCAAAAAGGCAAAGGAAACATTCCGCGTTCGACTTCGCTGCGCTCGATGCGATCGGAACGGTATCGCGCCATGCACGAGCTGTACCAAGCCAAAAGTGTAGTTCAGATTACGCTTGAATCTCTCTGACGCATCTCACTCCTTACTCACAAAACTTCACGATCATGGAGTTCGGACTGTTGTCTGCTGCTTTCTCTACCAAATATGGTCATGGATGTGGAGCTGAAAAATGATTATGTTTGGATCAGACATGTGAAGGAAACCGTTCGAATCAGGGAACTTTCAACTTATTTCGGAGGCTTTTACCATTAACTCCATGAAGGCGTGAACTGGAAAAGACTCCAGAAGGAAAAAGGCATCACAGCGGCGCTATCGCAAGATACGGGGCATCCCTAAACTGAGCCGGCGGAGTTGTTCAGCGAACTTCGGAGAAAATGATCAATTGCCTTCACTATGAGTCTTCTCCCACCTACGGTGAGCCCCTTTTTAAAAAAAATGGAGATGTTGCACGTGCTTATTGCAAATACAATGCCACCGTATCTTGCGATAGTGCCAACACAGCTGCACGTCCTTGACGCATGTTTTCTGACAGCATTTAAAAGAATAATAAGCATCTGATGAAACTAGGACATCCATTTCGGTTGCATCACATTTGATTCACAAAAACGCATCTCAAAAAGTCAAATGGTAAACGGTTAATAATTCAGCATGCGATTTCACTATTTGAAAGAATAAAAATATCTCATCATGCCAACTCTTTTAGCTTTCACAGCCGAAAATACACATTATTTCATATGGGCATAACCGTTTTAAAGGTGTGTGTCAAGAAATCTGTGCTCCTACGCGAAGATGGCGACATCGCGTTTTTCGAACAGATGCGTTGCCACAGTGATTGATGTGGCGCAGTGATGTGCGCGACAGGAGGCCCACCGCGCGGCAAGAAGGCGGAGTACGAGTCCGCTAATCTGCGGTGTGGGACCCGCTACAGCACATTGTTTTTAACTTGAAAAAATCGCTGCAGTACGCTGCGGACTCGTCCGCTGATTCTGCCTTGTTGCCGCGTGACGGGCCCCCTGTCGGGTACCCGAGAGTCATCACACGGTCGTGCATAGAGCAATTTTTGAGCGCCTCCGACATCGGGTATTCCTCGTGCACGTGGCATTTCACGGACAAGCAACGAATTGAAAGGTACGTGTTGCGCATGTGAGTCAAAGTTCAATATGACCTCGACAAAGCCTGGATGTCTTCATGGCTATTTGTACTTCCATCGCGTGACACGCATCACCACAGCTCCTTTTTAAAACACATATAAAGCCCAGTGATTGATCGCTTTGACGCCAATCCCTCATCTGTTCGCGCCACGCACCCTACTCCGGTTTGAGATCGCATGACATCTTAAAGGCAGTCGTGCATGGCGGAAGGGTTCAAATGACGGAGATTCATTGGTAAAGGTCAACTTGACCCCTTAGCATGATGGGAAGGGGAGGGGGCGACGAGAGTGACTCAGATCCTTCTATCAGTGACGCCCATTGACACTATTAAAACCCCTAGGCCTCACAACAATCGCACTAACCGTCTTTGAGAGCTTATTCGGCGTCTGGCCGACCTGTGTCGGCCAGCCAGTGCCCAAGTAAGTTAGTTTGTTTCAAGACAGCCTAGTAAGAACTAATCAAATACAGAGGGATGAAGGGCTTGATCGACTGTGGTGTCCTTGATCCACGAACCGAGGGAGAAAGCGGCGACTCTTGCCATAGCCCACTCACAATTGCATTCGAAAATTGAGCTATCAAACCAAATTGTTCTTAAAACAACATTTATTACCTATACACAAAAAGACAATCTTAAGAACCTAAGTAATTTTAGACCTTGAAAATTAAAAACCATGAATAGAAGAGTCCAAGACAGTGCTCTCAGAAAAACTTATTCAATGCGAAAACCAATCAATAATAGTACGTGCCATGCACTCAACAACATAAATAATTATTTGTGCAGATCTGTTATACTCGTGATAAAGTAGGAAAGACAATCTTGACTAGAATTTTGTGGTAGGGTGCTGACGAAATCATGAGATCATCACAAGATTAAATCTACAAAAACTAATTAAGAGTATCGGGTACAGATTAATAGAAGGATAGAAGAGATAGACTGCAGCTTCAGCTCAGTAAAGTCTTCAGCTTAGCCGCGTTGCGTTCCCTGCAAAAGTAATTCCTTGTTTATGAAATCTCAACACAGTGACGAGCACCACATCTTTAACACATTCACGCCGATGGCCGCCCATATGGGCTGCCAACAACATGCGCTCCTGGGACGATGGCAGCCCATATGGGCTGCCAACTGATAATCGCTTGCCAGGCGCTAGGAATGGACAGATAGGTGGGCAAACCTCGTAATCGAGTGTAAAATGCTTTTAAATTCCTTCACGGGGAAAGTGAATAAATGCTCTCTTTTCGTAACCACTATTTGTCGTTCTGATCGAAATCCTACTGTTATATGTTTAGATAATCTTTACGCATTGGACATTGCAGAAATTATTTTGTGACATTCATGTTTTTGTTCATTTACAAAACAAAATCTGCGGTTATGTGGTGAGGCGGCGGCGCCCACAAAATCGCGTCCGTCCCACGCGACCGAAAAGTGGAAAAGGGGCGTCGTCGTGAATGTGTTAAAATATGTAGTGAGCGCCATTTTTTCAAGAACAAATAATTGCAGCCCAGCCTTAATTCTTGGTGGAAATCATGACGATTCGATTAAGTATCCTCAAAAAAACGTACTTTTTGCCGCTTCTAGTTCGAGGACGCGATGGCGTTGCCGATGCTCCTAAGTCAGCTTTGTACGAATAATAAAGTGGAATCCGATGGTTCGCATCCAGCTGAAAAGATCTCATTCAAACTGTTGCTACTTAAAGGACGAATTCACGATCAGAGGGAAAATCGAATTAGGAAGAATTCACCTGGTTGAGGGACCCGCGGAGCTCCTAAGTGTGCGAACTGAAGCACAATTTGCACAGGAGGAGTTGACCTCGTTGACCTATTAAGGTTGTGTATAACTTCGTTCGGGGGCACTCCATTCTTTTCAGTGCTGGCGCGGAGGTTCCAATACTCAAGATAAGGATTAGAGGGCTCACGACACGTAATCGACTCATTTAAAGTAGACTTCTGATAAATATTGGTGTAATGGGTGAGAAACCCTGAAACGTTTTCACATTTCCGCCTGCCATGACCCAAGGGAACGGTCCTGGACCAGGAGAAAGGACACCTCCGCAAAGGGCTAAGGGTGCAGGAGCTCCAGGGTGGATCACCTGTGCAGAAAAGTGGATGGGATGTGGGCAGGTAGTGTGGAATGTAGGACATCCACCGGTCCTTATCAAAAGTACGCTCGAAATGAGTCGTTCACTTATTATCTTATCCGTAGTGTTCGATAGCCCAAAGAACTGCTCTCTAGTACTACGGATAAGATAGCAATGGAGTGGCCCCCCCGAACTGGAGTTTCACCTTAAGGTTTAATTCCCGCCGCGGCTGGTCAGTGCACGCCCACCGATCATCTGATCACTCGCCGCAGGTCTATACGTGGTGAGTGATTAGATAGGTGAGAGAGCGTAGCGTTGAAGAGGGCACAGCGATGATAGTCGCATCAATGCTCAAATCAACGGGCAAGGAAGTGGTTCCCATTTTTCTCAGGTTCTAGGCCGTTTCGCATGGTTTTTCCTTCTTTAGTGTACCACTTACCATCGCTAACTTAATTTGAAATGGGTTGCACCTTCCACGTCTGATCGTCCTTCAAAATTGCAGCTCTTACAATAATTCGCTCTCTAACCACTGATTTATTGAAAACATGAGATGTCGGTCAGACTCGGCGACTGCAACGCGATGGACAAGCGATCGCGTCGCTCCGTCGCTGGTCCATCGCATTGCAATCGCCGAGTCTGACCGACATCTGAGAACTATTAGAAACAAACATTCTGAATTTCGCAGAAACTCTTAAAAATCCTAAGAAGGAATTCGACTTAGCGACTCACCTGATATGGCTGTATCGGAAGTGGTGCAGCCGCTCGCATATTGTTCCCAGTGTAGGCGATAGCGTTCAACTGCCAGTCGCCCATCTCTTCACTCCAGCTCACATACTTCTCGATCAATTCGACATACTCAGGCGGAATGTACTCGTCGATGATGGTCATATTCAGAAGCAGCTCCTAGAAAGGAACACGAATATAGAAAAATATGTATGCGTCATCAGCCCTTGGTGTATAGCTCCAATTAAGAAGTATTATCCTGGGGCTAGCAAGATCGGCGCACTAGAGTACGAGCGGTGTTAACTTACCGGGTGAGAAGAATTGAATGAATTGAACTTGAATTCCTCACCCCCTAAAACAAGTTCTGTTTTTGTTGTTTTTTTGTGAAACGATGGATGGATAAATAAAAATCGGAGAAGAAGTTTAGAAGAAGCTCCGTCCCTCAACTCTAAACCCCGCCCACTTAATAAACAATTCATATAGAAAAATAGCGATTTTAACGGAATTTCTGCCGGAATCTCTCTAGAAATGCCGGAATTTGATCTCTGGATAGAACTTGAAGAGCCCATTCGATCAGTAAAATTCCATAGATAAGAGCGGTTTAATTTACCGGTAAAAAATGATTTTGAAAAAATATTTTTATTTTTATTTTATTTTTGAAAAAATATCTATGGACCGCTCTTATCTATGGGATTTTAGGGTAATACAAAACGTCCCACGAGATCGGGGGGGGCGGGGGGGGGAGGACCCAAAAAGGGGTCCATTTGTTGGAAGAGAGCGAAAGTACGATTGCATTAAAAAGGTGTGAGAATAAAAGGGTTCCTATTGTGGTGAGAAGTGTATTCGGAGGAATTCAATGATTTTGATGGGTTTATTATCGTTTCGATACTGTCGATTTATTCCTAAAAAAGCTGGTACTGCACGATGAGCGAAAAGAAGATTAATTATACTGGCAGCATGGTGGGTGGTATTGCAGTGGGAGGATCTTGTCTGAAAAATATTCTCATCGAAAAAAATTAGCAGAGTTACCTTTCTGAGCTGCCTAATGCTCTCCAGGAGCCCTTCGACTTCACGATGATGCTCGGCCTCCGAGTCCGCGAGTTCAGTTCGAACCTCACATAACTCATTCCAGGTGCGTCGCAGACGTCTCGTCTTTGCAGCAGCCTCATCTTGCAACGAGGAGTATCTAAGAAATGAGAAACATTTAAAAATATGCTATAATGCTTCTGCGTATTATTCAGTTGCGATGACACACTTTTCTTCTATGTCCTCCCTTGCAGCAGCCTTCTCCTTGAGCTGGTCACGAAGACGAGACTCCTGTGTCCGAGACAGCTCCAACTCACTAAAACATTTGGCCTGACCACTTCTATACGTTGAATATTCAATTAGAATCTCCAGGTTTCCTGGTACCACGTACAATTCTCGAAAGCTAAAACTACTTTTCACATCGGACACTCACCGGTTGCTTTCCTCCAGCAATCTAGCCTGCTCTTCCGCCTTTTCCAACATATTTTCGCCACCCACAATGAGCCTGCTTTCCATTTGACTAAGCTTCGCGCGTAACTCAGCGTGCTCGGCCCTCGCACGCTTCAGCTCTGCCTCCCTGCAAAAAACACTTCTAAACTGACCCTTAACAGTAAAGCAGCGAGAATCTTGCCTTTCAAGCATTTGCTGGACCAGAGCCCTCGTTTCCTCATCTTCTGCGTTTCTTCCAGCTAATTCCTCACGAGTTTTCTCTAAGTTCTGCTCCATTTCCTGCATACGCTGTTCCCAAGCAGATTCGTTCTCATTGTCCATTTCTGAGTCCTCTTCTAAAATGACGGCGAATGAAGATTACACCATCTTCCAATTGGAACTGTGCTCCTAAGCATTGCAAGTGTACGAGTTCTAGAGGGTAGTTTAAAAATAATGTAAAAAGTCGGTTACACGCAGACGAACACAGTTTTATTTTCTCAAATTTGCACAACTCCAATGACTAATCAATAAAAGCTTCCTTAATTTTTCTTCTTTTTTCTAATTTTTCTAATTCTTCACCTCTATACGTACAAAATCGATACACTTACCGGCCAGCTGCTGTCTCAGCATTTCGATTTCATGCTGATATTTCCTGAGTTGAGCGTCTTTTGGATCTTCATTTATCCTTGCCACATTCTGGATGTTTTTCGCACGATTCGCATAGCGTAACGTAGATAGGGTTTCATCATAGTTGTACGACGCTGGACCAATGTTTGCTATCTGTAGAACAAATTACATCGTACGATGGATACTCCAATACGATTGCCTTGTTCAGAAAAGCTAAGATAACATCGAACTAGTGCAGAACACATACGTACAACTTAAGAGATTATACTCCTTATTGGCTATACATAGACGGGACATAATAATCCAGCCAAACGCATACTTTACTTCCGCGCAGAGCGTGCCTATAGATGTGTAACACTTAGCACTTGAACACAGTGAAAGTATGTTCTCCGTTCTAGAATTTTCCCCTTATCTCCAAAGATGTTTTCGAGAGCGCGTGGTGCCAGCTTGGCAGTGCAATGTAAGTTATCACAGGGTGTGAGCAACTTTTCGACATCAAGGTTCTCCGCTTACGATCAGCCGTTTTGATTTCGTTTGAAATTGCTTTAATGGCAAATGGTACAACACACACGCAAATCGAAGGTCAAAACCCAGATCGAGTCGCCCAGATGACATTACCTCTCCAGAATATTAACTACTACCGCACAGGATATAAACACCCACTTAGAAACATCGCTATTTTCCCCAATAGTGCTGGCCGTATGCTAGTCCAAATACTAGCACGCACATTTTGACGAAAGTAGGGCGCATGGTTTATCTCAAGGAATAGAGGATCATGCTGGATCATCTACCTTTTTCGTCCTGTTTCCGTAATATCACTTTATGTTTCTCGGACCCAAAAAAGAAATGCGCTATAATTGATTGGATCTTTGAAATGAATGCCTCCATCTTCTCTTCATCGCGATAAGTAAAAAATTATCCACCATCAAAAAAGGTGCGGATGTACGAGCCGTACAGCGCCCTGCATTGGGCTGAATTAGTTCGAAATGAAGTAGCTGATCAGTCCATGCAGAGAACTCACCATGACAGTCTTCGAATTACCACCCAGTGAATCTTGTAGTAGACGTGTCAATTTGGAATTTCTGAAACACACAATCATAGAAAACCAGACACACGCTCAAACATTATTCCTTTGCATTGAAAGCAAATAAAACTTACGAATCAATTGAAATAAAGAGCATTTACTACGATAACATAACCTTTTACTTGTTTCCAATTCGTTGACTGTTGTTTTTGACCACAGTTCGTCTTGCTAGTTCTTATGACAAAACTTAACAAAATTTTCGCCCCAGGCAGGCAGAGCCCGCACCTCTCGCCTTACCAGGCAAGTGTCTACAAGTTACGCTACTGGGGCACTGCATTCTTGCCTGGTCTAAGGGGGTGGGAGCTCCAGGGTGATGACCAGGTGCAAAAACTGGGCATTATGTGAGCAGTATGAATGGGATGCTTACCGCCGTTATCAAGAGAGCGCTTCAAATTAGTCGTTTACGTATTATCTTACCCTTAGTAACAGAGAGCCTAGTGAGTTCTCTAGCTGCCCCGTTTCGCACTGTTATCCCGGCTGCCCAGCGCGCTTGGGCACTGCCGTGCTCCATGACCGCAATCGCGCGGCATGCACCGGCTATAGGGGCATGCTCCGCCTCCGGTCCCGCCTCCAGCCGGGACTACTTAAGCGAGCCGCCTCTGCCAGTCGGCGCACTTCGCCCTCCGGGAGGAGCGTTGTGCCCGGGCAACGCGAGGAAGCTGGACGGCTCGGAGTGCCACTGGCACTCGGCAGTATGGTCCAGGCATACCGCTCCGTACGACTGGTCGGAGCGCTGGACACGTCAGGTCCGCTATACCACAATCGGATGCAGCCAGAAAGCCCCTTACCGCTTACTGTCGAAAGACTACAAGACGTAGGTCACGATGGCTTGGCGCCTCCGCGCCCGGCAGAAGTGGGACGATGTAGGAAGTTGATGTTATTACCGCGAATAAATGTTATTAAACCAACCTGTTGTTCATTGTACTAGTGATTTTGTATAGGGTGCTACCAGACCAGAAGCCCGACTAGGCGCAGTTATTATTATGTGCTGTTATTACTGTGAGGTTGTAGCCGGGGCAAGGGAGTCCTCGGCCCTCGGGCTGGGAAATCCTGAGCCGAGGCCGAGCCTTGCACCCGCGAATTACCGCTTACCGCAAACCTACCCTTCCTTGGATTAGGAATCCAGATGACCCGGGAAGCCAAGGCCACGCTTGCAGGAAACAGCATGTTCCTCGAGAAAGACCCGCACAATGGCGCCTGTCCCTAAAGGACCGCGAAGATCGAGTCAACCATGCTGGAGGGTTAGGAAGGCAGCTGCTCCCGAATCACGACACTGTATTAATTGTAGTACTAAAGATAAGTAAACAAGAGCGGCCCCATCGAACTCTACTTCACCCCTGTGCGCTATCCTTTCTAAGTAGAAAATTCTTACAATTTATTCCATTTAATACATGACTTGCTATACATTTTTACACACACCTACTTTCGCGCTGAAGCTCGCCCCGAAAGAGCAACGAGTTCAAATTTCGTGCCAGGATTCCATGAGGAGAATAGCTGGTCTTTGAAGTTGACATCGCACTAATTGGTTGCGGATGTTTGCATGTGAAAATGAACCGCTATGCGATCACATTCCACACAAGGACAATTCCACTAGTAAAGCACACCAACATCCATTCATCCTCTCCGCAATTAGTGTGCGACAATCGCCACCCTTAAAGTAAGAACACACCCACCTATATGGAATGTGCGTTGATTTCACATCCACAAGTGCACTGATCACGTTGCCCAGCGTTGATAGTGAGAGGTTGATTTTTGCTGCTTCCTGAAACGTATTTCGACAGAGATACTTGAAGGCAGCGACCGCGAATGCGAATGTGTGTGTGGCACTCAAAGAACAGCGGAGACCATCAGACCAGTGCTCGTTTTCCGCATGATGCACGGGTTTGAAGGTTTTGCCACGCACAACGTAACCGCTCCATAATTGAACTGTTGCAAGAAACGTAAACAGGCTCTTTGACGAAGTCAGAATCCGCGCCAGGAAAGGAAACGCGATCGATACGTGCGTGTCAAAGATGATCTCTCTTCCTACCAAGTAAATAAGGGTTAGTTAACGTCTAGGTTTTTCTCTCCTCCTGTCGTTGCGTTTTCTGGGTAGTCGCAATTCCTTTCTAGTGGCGGACTCCGACATCGGCCTACAAACCTCACCCCACTTCTTCAGAGCATACAAAAAACAACGCATCACGAACGACCTAACAAAGCTCACCTTCAGTCGCTCTCCGGCGGCCCCCGTCTTGCTTTGGCGTTCGCTTCCAGCTAGATCGACAAGATGCAACTTGCCCTGAGTGACCATGCCTCGTTCACTCGATTCAACGGTCACGGAAAACATGGCATGCGAGCGACTACTCTCCTCGTTCATTTGCGTAGCTCCAACCTTCCCTGTGAAATTCAAAATGCTGAATTAACATTTTGGCATGACCAGCTCACGTCAACTTTATTTTTCATCACTCCTCATAAAAAGCAATGAAATCATAAGGCTATGAGTATTTGAAAACCCAAGTATGAGATCTATAAACCTGAACTTACGGTTTTTGTTGCCAAATTCCATTAGTTTCTGCATCTGACTAGCACTTCCAACAATGATTGAGATCAAGTTTTTCACATACACTCCAATGTCAGCTTTTTCCTACAAACACTTCGTGGGAACTTTGAAGCACCAAAACCGCATCATAGATGGGGAACACTGGGTCGTCATTCAAGAGAGTTAGTTAGAAAGTTTAAGAATCAAAATACTAAAATATTAGCGTGTAGGAATTAAGGAGATCAGAGCGCTTGGATGCATGTTAGCTGACCCCCACTCATTATTGGTATGTAGCCCCTAAATGAAAACATAAACACCAAGAAACGTACTTTGATCTCCAAATTCGATGTGTGGCCATCCTTGGCGAGCAGATCGCGAAGTTCCTCGTTGTATATTTCCAGATAAGAAACTCGAACGAGAAAACTAAACTACGCCCGTTTCCAACAGCAGCATGAGGTATGCAGCTTGAGACTATGATACTTACGTGATATCTTGTTGACATTTGGCGATGTGGTCAAAGATATGCGCAAATGAGTTCGGTATTATTCCCTGCAACTCCGGCCTGTCAAGATCACCAGTCATCGTAAAAGTTTTCCCAGTTCCCGTCTGTCCATATGCGAAAATGGTGCCTAGAACAAGTATTGTAACGACGTTCAATAGGATATGAAGTATGCAGCTACCAAAAAAGATCGAACCACAAAGAATTTGCTACAACTTATGACATAGTTTGTTACATAACTAACTGGAATAAGAGAGGTGCATTAAAGAAGACCGCTTACTGCTGTCAAAAATAAACAGCAAAGAGTAAATGGAGAGCAAACATAAGCTATAAAAATTTGCACTGTAAGTTAAAGTACCGGCAATAAATGATCATCGCAGTCACCAAAGAGAAAGCAAAACAAGTCATAAAAAGTTCCATGAAGCTCGCCAGTGGAGGCTCGGTGTGGGCCCTATCTGCGGTGAGCTGGATTTCAGGAGGCCACCTAGGCCACCCATATCGTCTTCTACGATGTGTTCAACTACAAACGTGAGGACACCAACAACGACCGTATTACCATCGAGTAGTGCAACATTTATGTAGATCTACCAAGCAGTTCCGTCGTGTATGTTCCAAGGAGATGGTATGGTCCCAACAATGAACCCCGAGTTGATCTTTGAAGGCGTGTATTCAATAAATTAATAGTGCACTTATGCGTAGGAGGGTTTGTTCCGGCGTTCTAAATTCTTCGCTGAAACATATACCTAGTCCAGAGCATAGAACTGCTTTTTGGAGTTCATACATATTTTCTTGGAAGATTCTCGAGAGAAATGAAAATTCGTACAAATTCGTGCCTGAGCACCATTTTACACTTCATCTCACCATTAGCAATGCAGGGATGACTTTACTGTGACCGGATGCATCGGTCAGAGAATCAGGATTTTTTCTCCCTTATGACTTAGTGTATGAAAAATAGATAATTATCCTTCTTTCATATGTGTATGTCATCTATTTAGATGCCAAAGTCTCCGTACTTTCTCCATATGTGTTTATTGCAATCCCTTACCTTGAACTGTGTCTGGCTGTTAAACTTCGCGAATTGTTTCAGGAACCTAAGAGGACGTTTTAACTTCGATGCTGTTTCCTCCAGACTGTGATCAAATGCGTGTTTATAATGTAGCAGCAAGGCCAATTGTAGAAAATGTGCTGAAAGGATACAACGGTAAGTTCCAGGAATCATGACGTGTGCTTGACTGTAAACTTTTCATGACTCGTTTTGCTTTCTCTTTGGTGACTGCGATGATCATTTATTGCTA